GTTGAGGCAGCTACTAGTCCTGGGAACACGGGCACCACCACGAGCCGTGCTGCCCTTGACGAGCCGTCTAGGTGGCCGTTGTCCCTGGACGGGCTGCCTAGTCGAGGGTCATTTGGTAATTTCTTATTTAATTAGTTAATTAATGGGGTCGTTTTTAATTGTTTTATATCACATATATAAATGGTTTTAAGTCTTTAAACGCCTATTTACTCCATTATTTCCAAATACCCAAATCAAAACTCCAAAGTTCTTCCCCTCCCAAATATTTCTCTCTCTAGAAACCTCCATTGAAGAACAAGATCAGGGTCAAGTGTAGGGGTCAAGGAGCAGCCTTTCTTCTTCAAATTTCGTGTAGAAATCTTCTAAAGGTATGGTAGTCTTCATCCTTAATTAAGTTTCATTCAAGGATCCCTTTCAAAAGATGATTTCAATTTTCCAAAATCCCCCAAATAGCTAGGGTTTCAACTCAACCCCATGGATTCCTTTCAAAGTTACTTTTAAACGCTGAATTATGTTTGTTTATTAATGTATTGCGGATTTTATATGATTTCAACTTGAATTCCTCAAGAATCCATGAGTTCTCCAACCCTAGTTAGGGGCCTTCTTTACATTATGAATGTTGTTGCAAGTTGGTCCAATTCATTGGATGTGGGTTGATTATGATGTAGTTTCATGATTCTAGTATGATTATACATGTATTCTTGATTAACCTAAGGTTCTAAGGTGTAATTGATGTGGCCTAGGGCTATGTCATGAAAGAGGCAAATTGAGGGCTTAGATATGACCTTTTAAGAATGATGAACTTCTTGATGAATTGCCTTAGATTAGATCACCTAGACATGAATTGATTATGAGTAAAACTTGTGGACAAAACCTAATTTGATTAGGGCTTATATGATGGATCATGGTTGAATAGTATTGAGATTTAGTTTACTTGATGCTATATGTCTATGATTGAGTAAGAATGAAGCATATGGTTAGTTTACCTTGAGAGTTAGGTATACGTGATGACCATGTGAGGTATTGCTTGAGAGTAATGCTGGTAGTACGAAGATGAATCTTAAGTGCTTTAATAGTAAAATCTGATATGAGTAAGTTAAGGATATTAAAGCTTAAATAAGGAAGCTATTATGAATTTTATATGGTGTTATTATGAACTGACTTCATCCACATGATCTATAATATAAGTATATGAGTGTATACATGGAATGAATGTTGTAATTGAGTTAAGACTATATCTATGTCTCATGTGGTGAATGCTAAAGGGGTTGACTTAACATGATCCTTGAATGCAAGATATGAAGAGTATGTATGATTATGATATTATGAGCATGCTTATGAATACTTTGAGAGTAAAGTGTCTATGATAATAATATTGTTGTTGTGTCATTGGAAGGACAATCACACACATTCACCCCATGCATGAATATGACTATGATGTGACTAAGGTGTTGCTTGTGGTTCATGTCCCTTGAAGGGCGAAGTTATGAGGGTTTGTACATCTTTATGACAATTGCGTATAAGCTTATGATTCACTTAGAAAGGAAGATCTTATGATTATTGTGTAATTGTGGTATTGTTGAAAGGTAATTCTCCCCGTACCCTTGCACTTTATTATGCATGAACTATTATGACTATGATGATCATGTTGTGTTGAATGAAAGACTATTTTCATGAACACACTATGAATATTATATGAAAGTTTTACTCACATATTGATGATTCTCAGGTTGAAAGGACATTCTCACCTAATGAATCTATGAGCAATTATGATACTATGTTGGTTTGAGTTCCTAGTGCATTCTCTCATGAACATGAACTTAAGTAAAGACTTAATGTGAATTGAAAGTGAATTATGCTTAGCACCGAGTGGATATGAGTATGAGATGGGTTCCTTCACGCTAGTAGTAAGGTTCCCAATATAGTTATCTCATGAGATTGAAACCTCCACGTTAGTAGTTAGGGTTTCTAGTAGCAATCTCCATATCCCATAACTATGTGCCCACATAGGTCTTTAGCTAGTGGATCCACCTAAAAGCTAAAATGAATGTTCTACCTTAGGCAAGTAGGACACCTCTTTTCAGTGTAGGCATAGAACACCGGATTCTATCTAGCTCACATGGTCTATGTCGGATAAGGCTATTTCCCTATATTATAAGAATATGAATTATGATAAGAACATGAGTTATGTATTATGGTTCCTCAAAAGGTTCTACTTTGTATGAGTGGGGGTATGGGACTTTATTCATGCATTGCACAAGTAGACTTTGAGAGTGGGCATGGTATGTCTCTCGTATGATATGATGATTATGAGTTAATGTATGCTTTATATAAATTGTGAACTTGAACTATACTTATGATTTCTTAATGAGCTTTACTTAGTGTGAGTGGGAGTATCGGACATCACTTATACATTGCACAAGTAGACTTATAAGGGTTATGGTGTTGTTTCCTTATGCTATGAAGATATATGAATTTATGTATGCATGATATTAATTGTTTCTATGAGTGTTGGCTATGGATAAGGTTAAGGTATGTTATGCATGATTATGGTGGCCTAAAAGTGAGACTTAGTGTAGATAGGATTATGGGATCCTATCTATGCATTGCAAGTGTAGCTTAGGGTTGCTTATGTGATAGTTATATTATGATGATATTATCTTAGTATGTAATTATGCATGTTATGTCATATGAAGATTGGAGTATGCATTATGTTGTGTTGGAGACTATGCTTGTGATTATGATGATATCATTTATGTTATGATGAACTGTGCATGGTTAGTCTTATGAGCTACATTCTCCAACTATTTTAAAGATGATGTTCCAAAGTGGCATATAGCATGGTTTCAAATAAAATGTCCCTTTTTATGCATGTTTTAAGGATTTTCTATGCATGGCTTCCATACTTAGTACATTATGTGCTAACCCACATTTCTACATTTTCTTTAAGTGTAGGGTTTGGTGATATCAGATTCTACCCTCGTGGCTATGACTATAGTAGATCAAGAAGACGAAGATTGGTGAGTCCTCATAGTATTTGAGGGCTTGACCATATGTCATTTATATCTTTCTTTTATGCTTTAGACTTTTGTAAGGGTCATGTCTCTAAGATTGTATTCAAGAGTTTTAATTCAAATGTTATAGATGGTTTGAGACATAGTGTTATAGACTCTCTCTCATTTGATAAAAGACTTCGATTGTAAAGAAAAGTTTTAATTTTTCCGCATTTTTCCCTATGTTCTTATGTCATGATATGCTAAGGGCTTGTATGAGTCCCCTTTGGGGTTAAGTATGTCGTGTTACGTCTAGGGGGTACTCATGGGTCGTGAAAAACTTAGTTTCAGAGCATACGGTTTTGGGATGGTTTTAGGATGTCTCAAATCACATCTAGTAGAGTCTTGTTCATAAATGTGAAGCGCACCACATTTTATGAATAGGAGGCTATCGGATGTTAGGAAAACTCACTTCTTCATTCTCTAAGTCGTGTCCTAGAGTTTAGATTTATTAGGTCTTTCTCCTAATGTGTACCCTATGGTTTTTAGGATATGACTACTTCAATGGCTTACGTTGAAAGGAACGAGGAAGACAATGTGGAGCAACAGATTCCTCTCCAAGCTCCTCTCCAAGCTCCAATTGACCCTATAGGGGAAGATATGACTCATGTGGAGTTTAGGTCCGCTATACAATTGTTGGCTCAAGCCTTGAAAGTGCAAGTCAACAAAGAGGTTGTAACTCCGGCAAATCCAATAAGGGGGATGGCTGCTTCTAGGGTAAGGGGGTTCTTGGGGTGGTATCCTCTTATGTTTAATGGATCCAAGGTGGGAGAAGATCCTCAAGACTTTGAAGAAGAGGTATCTAAGGTGTTAGACAGTATGAGAGTAACTCTGGTAGAGAAGGTGGAGTTAACTTCTTTTTTACTCAAAGGGGTTGCACAAATATGGTATGATCAATGGAAAGGGACTAGACTTGTAGGATTGGGCCTTATAGAGTGGGAAGGGTTCAAGAGTGCCTTTCTCGATAGGTTCTTCCCTTTAGAAATGAGAGAAGCTTTGGTTCTTGAGTTCATCAACCTTAGACAAGGTGAAATGAGTGTTAAGGAATATGCATGAAGCACTACAACATTTTAGGCATACAACCACCCTAGAAAAGTGTGATCTCTCTTCTTTAATTTGCATATCGTCGCGATTTCACCCTTTTCAGACCCCATTCGTGGGACTATATATATACTGGTATGCTTTTGTTGTTCTTTTTGGTTTCCTTTTTGCATTTTTTGTTACATTTCAATTCATTAGGAATTGTCACTAGTCCAAACCCAAAAGTCAAGGTATTATCCGCTTTGACTCGATCAACTTTGAGTCATCACAAAAATTTTGGATCTCAAGATTTTGCTCCCTTGAATTTTAACTCAAAAAAAAATGTCTTGATATTTTAATTCTGAACACTCACACTTATATACCTTCCACTACAACATTTTAGGCCTACAGCCACCCTAGAAAAGTGTGGCCTAAACTATGAAAAATATTGCCTTTGATAAAAGGCCACACTTTTGGACTTTAAGCAACACTTTACTAAGGATGCCCAAAGTGAGCGTAACCTTAGAGTTTAGGCAACACTTTTGAAGTGTCGCCTTATCAGCTACACTTAAAAGCGTAGCCTAAAAGGAAAAAGGCCTCGCTTTCCAGTACCTCATATAGCAACATTTCTATCTCATACAACTACACTTTCAAGCGTGGCCTTTGCTTCCTTATTGCCCACAATTTCAAAGTGTTGCCTTTTCTATCTTATGTATGACAACACTTTGAAGTGTAGTCCTTGCCCGTCTACATACAACAATTTACAATCCTTTGGCTACACTTTTAAGTGTGGTAATATTATTTAGGCTATAAAATATTTATAAGCCACAATTTCTAATTAAAAAACACCAGTATTGTTTTGCAATAAATAATCTCAAGCATTAAATTAGCTAATAAGTAATTCAAATATATATATTTGCAATAAACTTCAAAAGATAGCATGTCTTGTCTACATACACATACTTATAAAGCAATATTCTAAATATGTTTACACAATAGTTCAAAAAGTACTCTTACAATAGTTCAATATATTCTAGCAATGAATATGTTTCACAAAATTAAATATAATGTATTCAAACTTATACAATAGTGAGAGAAAAGCTATAATCCCTAGGATAGAAAATGCATAAATCTATATACCCATTCTGTTGGATCTCCTGAATTTCCATTTAGCAGTTTGTGATTCTCTTCTTTGGACTTGCTATCCTTAGTCACTGGTAGCAACAAGGCACTAGTGCGATCAGGCAGTTCTGCAAGAAAGAATGGGGAAAGATGAGTATGTGTGATGCCGAGAGAAGACTCTTTGCAAAGGCGTTGCTCGACACATTATATTCTATAAACTTCTTGTAAACATACAATCAATCAAAATAGAATTAAAACACCATTGTCCTCTCAGTCAACTACTATTAGTCGTTTTAAAAAATTATATGATACTCGTCCAATAAGTAAACTAACCAGTTTATAGTGCTTAGGTAGAACGAATGCTAAAACCTTGTTTAAATTACCAGTCAAATTGCAGATTGCAGATTACAGTTCCAGTTCTAGATTTATTCCAGATTGCAGCTTTCAGTTACATATTAAATAGTTTTAAAAAGTCGAAAAACACTCAGATAGACTGAATTGGCATCTTTCTCGTGTTTTATCAGATGTAGTTAATGGAATTTCAGTCGTGTTAAATGTTCCACTGTCCTCAGGGGTTTTAGTTGGTATAAATTGTGTATGGAACTTGAAAGTGGATCATAGTGTTACATGTTAAACAAAAATTTCTTAAGAAGAACAATAGTTGCTTGCTTGTTGATGACTGTACTCATTCCTGCTGATGCTAACCTTGTTATCCCTGTTATCACCTAAAACTTGTCGTGCTTTACTCATCTTGAGTAACATACACACAAAGAATTAAAGTGGCATTCAATTATCAAGAACAGAAATATTCAATTAGATTGAGTGCAGACTGAGACAGATATGGAGATAGGATACATGATACTCACATGAGGTGTGACGGTAATTGTTGTGGTTATAGTTTGTCTTGATGTTCGGGCATGGGGAAATCCTTCACCAACGTTATGAGGGACATCATTTATGTTGATAAGAGTTGTTGACTTGTTTCCAGTTGAGTAGTTCATCATGTTATCCCCAGCTTCATACCATGTTTCACCAGATATGATGGAGACAGTAACAGTGACTATTCGTCTTTCAGGGACAGGCTTGACAGGGAATGCTAGGTTGTTGTTATGAAAATTATTAGTGTAAGGCAGCAATGAAAGAGGAGCTATGGCAGTAGAAGAAGAGACTGAGGGTGGTGTTTGGACCAAATTATTAGTGTAATTGTTGTTATCTCCTTGCCTTGATCATTTGATCTCTCCATTGCTACATCTACTGCTTGCACTCCCTGTTTCTCACTTCCTTGTTCCATTTCCTTTCTCTTAACTTCAGAAAATTGTTGAGCCGACAACATAAATGTTGTGATCGCGTTATCTTTTTCTTTCAGTTTAGACACAAGGTTCAGAAACTTTTTCCGTATTCATCACCCAATTAATTAACATTTAACAGTCGACAGAAATTACTAGTACTAAAAATATCACGACTCCTACGGTAACATGCATATCTTACAGTACCATGAATCTCTCTACTTCCTCACTAATCAAACATAATTCAGCCCCACCTCTCCCTTTCCCCTTCACCCTAACTAGAAATAAAACTCAAAGAACTATAGAGGGGAAATAGTGCATTTTTTATGGATTACATTAGAGGCATCAGAAATGATTGAGTTGTGTATCTCAAATGTGAGTTACAACATAATATGAAATTATGAAAGTGTGAGTTGCATCTAATTCCACATGCAAGGCAATAACATACATATAGGTTGATTAATTAGAATACCTCCATATTTTCCATGAAATCTGAATTGGCTATCATTAATTGTTTCTTGCACATTTCCTGCCACTTAAACAGAACATGAAGTATAATTACCAAAAGGGTTAAGTATTAATTTGTAAACCACTCAAATGACAAACTTTTGGCTTTTGGAAATAAATACCATTGATGGAATAGCTTTTCTTGAAGTTTCAATAGCTTTGGTTTCTTGTTGCGTCTTCTTCAATTCAAGCTCCTCAGTCTTTCTACTCAAATAAAAACACAGCCATAGATGTTTATATATCACCAATGTAAAAGCTTATAATTATAGTATGAAAATTCATTCTTGCATGAATTGGAAGAAGCAGCTGCATTTTCTTAGCAGGAAAGTGTGTCATATATACTAATGAAGAACAAAGATATAAGATCATTTTTAGCATAATAAACACATTTTTTGACCATTACCTGCATTCGATTTACACCACCAGTTTTAACAAAGAGAGGAACAAATCGATTTTCTCACAAACACAATCATTGATTTTTTTTATGACGGTAGCAAAAGATCTAACTTGATGAATACAATGAGTATCAAATAAGATCAAGATTACTGCACTTCTTCATAAACCAAATGAACAAACCCATTTTCTCACAAAAGGATCTGCTATCTCAAAGGTATTTAAACAATCAAAAGCTACAACAAATTGACTCACACATGTTTCCTCAACTAATGATCAAAATGAAAGAAAAAAAAACAGAAGCTAACATATATATAACAAGATGCAAAGGAATTCGAAAACAGAGTTAATGAAGCAACCACAACACGGAAAGAACTCGATACATCATTCAGCATTTATTTGAAAAAAAATTAACAAACCTATGAAAACCAACTGTTAAAGAGAACTTAAAAGACATAGTAAACATAAAAGAGAAAGCGGAACAGAAGAAAACTGGACAGAATCGATCCTCACAAGTATAAGATTTAAAATAAAAGCACTAGAGACACAATATGAAATCTAAAACCTTGACGTCTTGATCCACTCATCCAACTTGAGGTGCACGAATGAAGAACGTGACGTCTAACATAAAACGCTATCACAGAATCCCAACAAATAAGAATAAACTAAGACAAGCAGAGAAATTTGTCTCTTGATTTCAGAAAATGTTTCAATACAGTTCTTTAGTACAAGCCTGTTGGCATGTGAACTCTCGGAACTGCCTGTAGTCTATAAGGAGGATCATGTGGTAGCATTAAAGCTTGAGAAGAGAAGGTAAGTGAACTCGTCTATACGTCCAATATTGTTTTCTTGAAACGTCTGAATTCTGTTTTAGCGTTGTTAAATCCTCTTCATATGATCTTGGACAATCCGCACCTTAAAAGTTAGCTTTTGCATTTGAATTAGGTCCCAAGTCCATTTTCGAAAAATATGTCAAGCTTGAGCTTAGTTTAATCTGTTATGGTAAGTTCTTCATTTGTTTTCACTGATAATGTTTTCCAAACTCCGATCGGATACCCCAAAGACTGCCTTGTTTTTGGAGAACAAGAAGAAAATACAAAATTGCAGCAAAACACACTACACTAACAAAACAATAATAATGACTTTGCCAATAAAGTTTCATGTCCTGTTACATTGCCTAAATCATCTAAACCCACACTTAAGTCTCTATTGAAGTGATTCGACATTCATGTTCATGTTATTCTGTTTCCCTTTCATGTAGGCACAAGACTCCACAACCCTCTCAATCACAAAAGGAATGCAAAAAGAAAGTAATAGACGAAGAGGATACTAAACCAGACGACGTTAGCTCTAATGAGGTACATTTCTCAGTTTTTGCTCCTATCAAACACTAAGATCAAGTACTTCAAAGCCAAGAATTGTATGTTGCAGGAGCCATTAAAGAGTAGACTTTCAACAGTCTTTAAACTACTAGAGCCAGGAAGTAGCAGTACTACTATTACTACTACAACTACTACAAGCACATCTTTAAGTACTTCAAAGCCAACTGAAAAACCTCAGAGTCCTCAGAGTTCTCCGAGAAGTACTGAATCTTATCGTAATTTCACTTCGAACATCAAGAATATACCTCCATTGCCAAATTCTATAAGAAACCGAACTAATAAGTACAACAACAACAAGGACGCGATGAACAAATTGAGTCGAGTCCAAAGGTTTCAATCAAGCAAAGATTTTTTGAGATCTTGATCATCAAAAATCAACTGATGAAGCTAAAATACGAGCTACACTCTCAAAATTTGTATAAAAAACACAAGCATATCAAAACCCTAAAGCTAAAATTTAGACATTCAAAGATAGAATTTGTTACCTGATAAACCCTATTCCAACAAAATCATGTTTTCAGCGAGAACTATGATGAAAATCGTGTCCTTCAGCGAGAATCTCTTCAGTTGTTGAGCTCTTCCGTTCGGTCTGAAATCGTGTTCCTAGCTTCAGTTCTGTCTGAAATCGTGTTCTTAGCCAACAACCCCAAAGTTATCAATTCCTTCTTATTCTCCTCTTCTAAACACAAAACAAAAAATCAATCAATAACAAGAAGACTATTTTTAGTACTTATGGAATAGTGAATCGAACTCACGCTTAACGAAATTGTTATCGGAGAAGAGAATCGAACTCACGCTTGACGAAATCAATTCTTCAACTTCAGTTCTTCATCTATTCAGTTCTTCAGATCAGTACTTCAACTCTTCAGCTCAGACGTTATTCCGAGAAAGAGAGAACTCACGCGTGTTTTTCTCACATATGTATTATGTATTTTATTAAAATTAATGTTTTATGAATTATTTTTCTTGGGCAATAAAAATGGGAGGGAGACTTAAAATAATGTTGGAGGGAAAATTTTGGCCACACTTTTAATGTGTTGTTTTTACAATTATTAAATTAGGACACTTTAAAAGTGTAGCCATATATGTTAATAGTTGTTGTTAATTATATCATATTGTAACAACACTTATAAAGTGTAGCTTATACCATTAAAAATTACACTTTTTAAATGTTGCCAATATAAAGTGTAGCTAAAAGTTAAAAACTTGGTCTACGCTTTGAAAGCGTCCCCAAAATATTTTAGGCAACACTTTACAAGCGTTGTCCAGAATTAGTGTGGCCCTAGGCCTAAAATGGTGTAGTGGAGGTTCACTCAATTGTCTAAGTATGTTCCAATTCTAGTGTCCGATCCCAAATTGGGAATGAGTAAGTTTGTGTCGGGATTGTCTGATTTAGTTGTAAAAGAATTTCGTATGGCCATGTCTGAGCATAATATGAATGTCCCTAGTCATGTAGTGTATACCTTTGAAATTAAGCAAAATAAACTTGAAGAAAGGTTGAAGGAGAAAAAGAGGGTTAGGATGGATGATAAAAATTCTTCCCTTGAGAGGTCCTTTGGACAAGGTTCTTCTAAGTTTCTCCTAAGGTTTAATGTGGAGGGGGTATCTAACCCTAAACTTCAAAGAGGAAGCAATAGTGAATCGGTGTTACTTAAGCCTACTTGCAAAATATGTGGAAGGAAACACTATGGTAGGTGTTTGGCCGGTTTGGAAGGTTGTTATGGTTGTGGTGGAAGTGACCAGAAAATAAGAGATTGTCCGGTACTTACCGCTAGGGGAAGAGAGACGAAGAAAATTAGGTTTGATGCTCTTCAAGCTAGAGGAGAACAAGAGTGTCCTCCTAAGGCTGCTCCCGGTATATGTGTCATGCTTACCTCTATTCCGGTAGTACTTGTCTTTTGTGACTTGATGAATTGGACATGATAAGCTTTTATGTTTTCCTTAGTGTGTATGGGTTTGATTATGGTTATGTGTGTAGGTTGATGGAACCCAACTTAGCCATAATGAGTTTTATGATTATGTTGGAGGATTTTATGAATAGTGGTGTTTAAGTGATGCCTAGAGAATATTGAGGGTGGTATTTTTGTAAGGGTTTTAGTTGAGGGTGCTATTTGGGAGGCAAAGGGCCATTGAGATGTCCCAATATCGTTGTATTCCCTTTTATTCCTCCTTTAGCTTAAGATGATAAGTCCTCCTTGACTCATTTCATGATTGTGGAGTCTTGAATATCATATGTGTCCCATGATTACCTTATCCCATAGAGTTCCTCTTGTTAACCTTAGTATGGTTTGGGTGCATGGTCATTAGACCTCTCTTGTTTCTAGAACCCGGTAAGGTTATAATGAGTCTTAGTAATGCTTTGGGTTTGTTAGAAAGGAGTGGTATATGAGGTTTCAGAAAGGGGGATTACTCCTAAGGGGGAGATCATTTGCTTAGATAGAAAAATTGATTGAGAGTTCCGATATCCTCATCCCTTTCTTCTCTTCCTATTCTAGCTTGAGATCAAAAGTTCCTTTTTGGGCTTGTTCCATGTCTAGCAGTCATGAGTGTTTTAGAGATTTCCATGATCTCCTTATGTTATGCATGTTCTTGAAGATTCATGTTTAGTATGAAATGAGTTTTCATGATTTATATGTTCCTCATGTTGTTGTGCATTTTAGTATGATGATGGCATATTTGACTTCATGGGATGATTTGATGAACATGCTATGCTATTCTTTTTAAAGTAATTGCATATGAGCTCCATGAAAGTATATTGAGCATGATATGACTAGAACATGGCAGTAGCTCCTTGAACATAGCTAGTTCTTGAAATTCTTGCATAATCAGTACGTAGATCTAGTTCCTACTTCTTTCTGTTGCATTGAACTTATTGATGTGAGGTTGATGTTTCCTCTTATGATTTGTGCATTTTATTGATGTGTCATGCATAATGGGATGCTAGTCTTGAGTCTTTATTCCCGTAAGGTGTCTAAATCGTCGTTCGAGGATGATTGTTCCCAAGGGGGAGATAATGTAACACCTTAGAAAAATGGTAGGTTGAACGAGAGCCTAAACACGAGGGTTAAGGGGTATAGTGGTTAAACATCAAGGTACGTGCTAGACCTAGTAGTTTAGAAGATCTTCTAAGGTTTGGTGGAGGGTTGCAAGGTCAAGTGTCAAGCCAAAAAGGGGAAAGCCTAAGCCAAAGGCTAAGGCTTCCCCAAGCTTGGCCAAACATTGCCCAATGACCATGACCACCTTCACGACCAGTGGTCTTGAGCACGATCCGTGAAGGGGCTCGTGAAGGTCCCTTAGGCATATGGGAAGCAAGGCCTTGAGGCATAGCCACAGCCTAGGAACCACGACCTTCACCATGAATCGTGGTCTTGACCACGGATCGTGAGAGGTCTGGTGGTCTTGCCTTGGCATTGTGGAGGCCAAGTCCCCAAGCCTTGGCTACTGCCTAGGGACCACGACCATCACCACGACTCGTGTTCTTGCCTTAGGTTCTTAAAGGCGTGGCACGTTGAGGGAGCTACTTGTCAAGGGACCACGGGGACCACCAGGAGCTGTGGTACCCTTGATGGGACCCTTGCTTGATAAGGATTGCTAAAATATTTCTTTTTTATTGAAAAAGACTGGGTTTCTTATCTCGATGTGGGAATTGGAGGTTCTAGAGACAGGCTACCTAAGTCATATAGCTCGTTTAGAGCCGTCTTGGTGGTCGTAGTCCCTAGACGGGTCTGCCTAGTCGAGGGTCATTTTGTAATTTCTTATTTAATTAATTTAGTAATATATTTGTTTTTAATTGTCTTATATCACATATATAAATGGTTTTAAGTCTTTAAACACCTATTTACTCCATTATTTCCAAATACCCAAATCAAAACCCCAAAGTTCTTCCCCTCCCAAATATTTCTCTCTCTAGAAACCTCCTTTGAAGAACAAGATCAAGGTCAAATATAGGGGTCAAGGAGCAACCTTTCATTTTAAATTTCGTGTGAAATCTTCTAAAGGTATGGTAGTTTTCATCCTTAATTAAGTTTCATTCAAGGATCCCTTTCAAAAGATGATTTCAAGTTTCCAAAATCCCCCAAATAGCTAGGGTTTCAACTCAACCCCATGGATTCCTTTCAAAGTTACTTTTAAACGCTGAATTATGTTTGTTTATTAATATATTGCGGATTTTATATGATTTCAACTTGAATTCCTCAAGAATACATGAGTTCTCCAACCCTAGTTAGGGACCTTCTTTACATTATGAATGTTGTTGCAAGTTGGTCCAATTCATTGGATGTGAGTAGATTATGATGTGATTTTATGAATTTAGTATGATTCTACATGTGTACTTGATTAACCTAATATTTGAAGGTGAAATTGATGTGGCCTAGGGCTATGTCATGAAAGAGGCAAATTGAGGGCTTAGATATGACCTTTTAAGAATGATGAACTTCTTGATGAATTGCCTTAGATTAGATCACCTAGACATGAATTGATTATGAGTAAAACTTGTGGACAAAACCTAATTTGATTAGGGCTTATATGATGGATCATGGTTGAATAGTATTGAGATTTAGTTTACTTGATGCTATATGTCTATGATTGAGTAAGAATGAAGCATATGGTTAGTTTACCTTGAGAGTTAGGTATACGTGATGACCATGTGAGGTATTGCTTGAGAGTAATGCTGGTAGTACGAAGATGAATCTTAAGTGCTTTAATAGTAAAATCTGATATGAGTAAGTTAAGGATATTAAAGCTTAAATAAGGAAGCTATTATGAATTGTATATGGTGTTGTTATGAACTGACTTCATCCACATGATCTATAATATAAGTATATGAGTGTATACATGGAATGAATGTTGTAATTGAGTTAAGACTATATCTATGTCTCATGTGGTGAATGCTAGAGGTGTTGACTTAACATGATCCTTGAATGCAAGATATAAAGAGTATGCATGATTATGAAATTATGTGCATGCTTATGAATACTTTGAGAGTAAAGTGTCTATGAAAATAATATTGTTGTTGTGTCATTGGAAGTACAATCACACATATACACCCCATGCATGAATATGACTATGATGTGACTAAGGTGTTGCTTGTGGTTTATGGCCCTTGAACGGCGAAGTTATAAGGGCTTGTACATCTTTATGAGAATTTCATATAAGCTTATGATTCAGTTAGAAAGTGAATATCTTATGGTTATTGTGTAATTGTGGTATTGTTGAAAGGTAATTCTCCCTGTACCCTTACACTTTATTATGCATGAACTATTATGACTATGATGATCTTGTTGTGTTGAATGAAAGGCTATTCTCATAGACACACTATGAATATTATGTGAAAGTTTTACTAACATGTTGATGATTCTAAGGTTGAAAGGACATTCTCACCTAATGAATCTATGAGCTACTATGATACTATGTTGCTTTGAGTCCCTAGTTCATTCTCTAATGAACATGAACTTAAGTAAAGACTTAATGTGAATTGAAAGGGAATTATGTTTAGCACCGAGTGGATATGAGTATGAGATGGGTTCCTTTAACTAGTAGTTGGGTTCCCAATACGGTTATCTCTTGAGATTGAAACCTCCATGTTACTAGTTATGGTTTCTAGTAGCAATCTCCATACCTCATAACTATGTTCCTGCATAGGTCTTTAGCTAGTGGATCCACCTAAAACCTAAAATTAACGCTTCCTTAGGCAAGTAGGACACTTATTTTTGGTGTGGGGGTTTACACCGGATTCCATGTAGCTCACATGATCTATGTCGGTTAAGGCTATTTCCCTATATGATAAGAATATGAATTATGATAAGAACATGAGTTTTGTATTTTGGTTCCTCAAAAGGTTCTACTTAGTATTAGTGGGGGTATGGGACTTCATCCATGCATTGCACAAGTAGATTTTGAGAGTAGGCATGGTATGTCTCTCTTATGATATGAG